TGCTGTCCAATTATTTCTGATGTCTCTTTGGCCCTGTGCAAGGTAGAATATGTCACCTCATTGTAGGTGTAACCCAAATTAGCCAGGCGCTGACCGGTTAAGTTAGCCTGCTCACAACCTACAAAAAAAAAAAAAAAAAAAAAAAAAAAAAAAAAAGAATTCTGGTAAGCAAACTTCCAAAACTTTATCAAATTGCACCTGATGAGCAAGTATACAATCCTTGAGACAGCAAGCCAATGGTCAAAATACCAAACCTTGTGAGGACTTGCTCTGCCACATTCTCATGAATTTGTGATTCCTAGGCTTTTACAGAAAAGTCGGCCCCCCCCCCCCCCCCACAATTTTGGATCCCAATGTGAGATTTTGTAATGTTAAATGTAGCATTGATAGTTGGGGCTGGGCCTAATTCATAAACAGACCTTGCATTTGGTCAGTGTTTCCACACAGTCACATCCTTTTCAAGTGCAAGACCAGATAATCCATAAAAACTGCAGCCATTTAGAAAAGGCCATGTGTCTATAGTATCACTCTGCAGCTATACAGCTTGGCAGAAGCCATTTTGTAAACCATTTAGGATTACAAGTCTAGGGTGTGGTCTACCAACCCAGGATCCCCACTACAGGCTCTGCTACATACTCTAGATGGAGCAATAGACAGTATTACTAGTGACCACGTTTTAAAAAGTAACTCCACTTTTGTTGAGAACAAAAATCCCCTCTTGGCAATCTATGTATACTGAATTGATTTTAACACTGCTGCAGATTTCTACCTTTTGCTATTAAGATATAGTCATTTGTGTCCATGTGCTGAGCAAAAGTATGGGAGTGATTTCATAATTCTCAATCAGCTGCTGCACTTGCAGGCCTCATGAGGAAAACTTCAGGCTCTGCATCCCTTTAGATGGGATTGCCCTTTGGCCGTATCACCAAAAAACTAATTTTTTTATTGCAGGGGATGCCAAAAAAAAAAAAAACACTGACTTTATTGCAGACGTCAGGGAAATTCAATAAGCCAATCACAAAAGCAGGAAAAATGTTTCGGGGGGGGGGGGGGGGGCAGCATTTTGTACACCTGTGTACAGAAAGCCTCCAGGTAGCCATTGCATTTTACAAAAAAACACATAGAAGAAAAATGTTAAATACATTTTAAAAATTATGATCTAGATATATAGAATATGGCACAAATTGTAGCATTTCAAATATATGGCAATATATTTGGGAAGAATATTTTTTAAAATTTCAAGTATATTTTTCTTCCATATGGGAAGTTAGTGCTACAGATTTAAGGAAAGGTCATTTTTAACATCCAATTACAATACAACTTATTTGCAATTTCCCCCAACAAATGTTAAGTTACCCTTAAACATGAGGGGGGGAACCCCTACAGAAAGGATCTAAGAAAGCCATTCACTCACATCTCTCCTAATACTGTCTCTAGACCCAATACCAGAATTAGAGTTAGGGAGAAACAAGCAGAAAGACAAGACCTAATTTGCACTCAAAGTTATTCAACCTCAAGTAGCAGCTTCTCTCTAACCAAGCTGAAAGGATAACTGGCCCTAGCATTCTCAAAGTGATGATCCCTCAAATCTTGATTCTTCACCCCTCTTCCTGTTGAAACTGCAAGGGGGTAGTCTTTACAAACAGCCCAAAGACACTCATCTGTCTGCACACATGCACTGAAATAAAAAGCCTTCCTTTTCCAGACCCAGGCAGACGTGTGAAAATCAGACAGGTGACAAGCCCAATTAGAAACCATGTTGAGGAATATAGACTACACACCCTTTTTACATGAAGAGGCCATAGGCATGACAGCTAGGCCTCTGAATGTAGAGGCAAGATAAACCTACCAAGTGGCGTTAGAACTCTCTCATTGTCGGTTTCACCAGCAACATTGTACTGTCCATGGCGAACAAGGAAGATATGCCGTCTGACTTTCGCATCGTATTTTTTTAGCTGACTATTCAAGTCGTCCTCTTTATTGCCCTTCAGGTCATTTAGATTGATCAGAGACATTGGTTCACGTCTACAAAAAGATAATAGGTTAGGCGGTCAGTTTATCCAGAAAATATTTCAGATGCTGAAGTGTCTAGCTCTCAATCCTGGGACACCAGTGAAACCTTATTGTACAAATCAAATTTTTTTTTAACACTGTAATTTAATTTTGAGGGGGTTATTCTAGATTCTCACCCAAGATAAACACATTTTTCATTTGGAAAGTTGTGATCGTGGGCAAAAAGCTGTGAAACAGGAGCATGATTAAAATGCAGCATTCTGTGCAAGTTGCTATAATGTGAGCTTCAACGGGAAACACTGCAGTGCATTTTAGCTAGTGTTAAGGGGGGGGGGGGGGGGGGGAGCGTGTCAAATTTGAGGGAAAAAGAAAAGCCTATGCAATCACATCAAGTTAATCCATACTTCTGCAAACATGCCATTTTTTCAAAGACAGAAGCTTGATGAAACTGCCATCTTGTTTCTTACTAGAAAAGGAGCAGCCTTTAGGAGGAGCATCCCCTAACACTACAGGAGGGAGTGCCATCCTTTCCCCTTTAAATTCCCATGTGCAGTGTAATCTCTCCCAGTCAAGCTTAGATTTCAGTGGCGGCAACAGGAGAGCAAACTGCATTTGAGGCCCTACAAAAGAGGATATTGCTCCCTTCTGTTGCATTAGGGGCACTAGTCAACTGTTCTGTTGTAGCATGGAGCCAGAGTAGAGCCATGAGAAGAATTTGCAGTTGTGTCTGCCATTTCATAAATAGCCTACAGGTATGTCAGTTAAGATGATGCTATTGCATATATTGACGAAAAAAAAAAACCCTGCACACCACAGGTGGTGAACTAACCCTTTCTAACCATTTCAATACCATGCAATTTTACACCTTCCTGCCCAGGCCATTTTTCAGGTTTCAGCGCTCACACTTTGAATGACAATTGCGCAGTCATACAACATTGTACCCAAACTAAAATTTTATCATTTTCTTCACACAACTAGAGCTTTCTTTTGGTGGCATTTAATCACTGCTGGGTTTTTTTTATTTTTTGCTAAATTTACACGTTTGTTTCTGTTAGAAAAGTTTACAAATAAATAATTGTTCTTCATAAATTTAGGCCAATATGTATTCTACTACATGTCTTTGGTGAAAATAACCCAAATTAGGATGTATTTTTTAGTTTACAGGAAAGTTAGAGTTCAAACTATGGTATAGATCTGATTATTGATCAATCCTGAAGTACTGACAGCCAATCTAATTTCTTGAGGTCCAAGAACGTCAGAACAGTACAGATATTCCCCAAATGACCCCTTTTTGCAAAGTAGACAGTCCGACGTACTTCATAAGAGGCATGGTGAGTTTTTTTGAAGTTGTATTTTTTTTGTCATAATTTTTCAGAAAATGAAATAAAAAAAATTTAACTTTTTTTACACATACTGTCACCAATGCAGTACGGCATCATATAACTGGCATGGCGGTGATCAGGGACACTGAAAAAAAAAAATTTTTTTTTTTTCTCATATTTCACTATGTCCAAAGTAGTACAATGTTACCATAGTAACATTGTACTACTTTGGGGACGTGATCAGTTTTTTTAAACACAATTTGCTTATAGCAAATAATTACTTTGCTATAAGCAAGCATTTACCTGAAAAACATCGATTCATTCAGGATTTTTTTTTTTGTGCTTAGCTGTGATTTGGCCACAGCTAATCACATGACATGCGATTAGCTGTGACCATTCACAGCTAGACACTAGTATACAATGGATGGCATGAATGAAGCCATCCATTGTATACAACTGTCATGTGACCTGCTGTGATTGGTCACATGGTACCAGCAATGGGGCTGATAGTCATCGGCCATGTCCGATGTACACGGCCTTTGACAGATCGCGCCGCTGCAAGTGCACAAACTGCGCATGTGCAGGTGTATGCCATATGGCAGCCTCCTGGAAAGCTAGTGCATTTTTCCGGACGCCATAAGGCTATTGGCCAGGCATGAAATGGTTAAACAAGGATCTTTGTGTTGGAATCTTGGATGAAAATATTTAGGGCTCATTCATACTTCATGGAGTGCGAGTTTGTGTTCCTGCTTATGATTTGTCTGCGCAGTTTTCACACGATTGCATGGGTCACACGTAAAGCAGCCCATTCACTTGAACTGGCTGCAGCTGTCAAGACTAAGAAGCTCAGGGACCCAATTTTGGCCCTTAGCCAGGTGCACTTTTCCCACAGCAAGATTGCACCACGTTTGGGGTGCCAGTTCAGGAGGACTGACATCTTGCAGTGATTTGGAATCACCCAAGTGTGATTCCAAATCACACTTGTAGAATTTCTCATACTACATAAAAGCCAATGGCACATTTTTCTATGGAAAAAGTTGAAGCACGAGTCCTCAAAAACAAACCCATTTGCAATTTCAGTGCATGGACCCTAAACTAATTGTGTTTTTTTCAAGGGTCAAGACTTTGTCCCATTAAGATCTGTCTAGATCTATGTAAAGCTGCCATATACTACAAGAACAGCTTTAGATGTAGCAAGCTTGTGTGAAGGACAATTCTGAGCAACGCATTCAATTAGTAACAGATTAGGCAGGCACTTACACTAAATAGTTAATGGTAATGCTAGAGCAGGATTGTATAGTGTAGGTTAATTTTAAATGCCAAAGAAGGAATATGGAAAAGAGCATTAGGTCTATGGAAAGCAAAGCAGTTACAGTAGTCTATTACTTGTATGGATATGGGATCATGTATAGTTAGCATATACTCACATTTTTTTGGGTTCTCAAAAAAAAAAAAAAAAACCCCAGTTTAACAGAAGGATACCTTTTTAAAAAGGAAGGTTTCACAATAAGTGACCTATAAATGGGCCACACACCTTTTCTATATGAACATTAGTTACTGGTACACTACACCAGGCGGGTGAGAGAGTTGCTCATTACACATGAGATTATTCAAACTTCTCAAGCATTAATATCTTAAGTCACATCTACTACATGAAGAACTCACCGGTCCCAGTTGGGGTCCCAGCTCCTAGTAAAGGCAGGAGGCCATTGCACAGCAGCTACACTGGAGTCTCCCCCACTATGCTTCAGAACTGCTGCAGCAAACAGTGCTGCTCCGCCAGCCAGGACAGCCCTACGCAGGAACATGATAACTGCTTAACAAACCCACCAACACTGACTGCTAGCTGTATGCAGTACTTATATAGTGAGTCACTGGGCGAGAAGTCTGTTTGCAGGTGTTATATGATGAGGGGATCAGGCTTTGGGGAGGGGCAATTGTCAATACCCAAACCTGTCTTAAAGGGCAAAGTCATGGAAAGATTTGAGGAGACCATTACTTGCCTTCCACTGAAAAAGCCTGTTCTGCTATCTCTGACCTTCAAGGCATTTTCCACTATTGCAAAAATGTAAAAAAAAAAAAAACACCCACGTTGATATAAAAAAAAAAAAGCAATGTGCATTTATTAAATGTTTGCACTGAAGGCACTCAATCCTGTATTGTTTACCTCCAGCCCCAGGTCTATACCAAGGTATGGTCCTGCAGTTACGGAGCTGGAGGAAATAAACAATGGACTACAAGTGCAGTGATCTCACAACACTCATGTTTCATTGAGATCTCTGAGTCTCTTTGCAGCGGTGGTATGTGAGACTTGTAGTCTTCTCATTTATAGATCTCTGTGAATGGATGACTCTGCTGTGTGGTCAGAGCCAAGCACAGCAGCATTAACTAGAAAAAAACAGGGTACAGTACATGTCCTTATCCATCGAGTTTTTGACCAATGGATCCCATTCAATCCTAAAATGTTTATCTTGGGGCGCCACTAATCACCGTGCTGCACTCCTTCTAATGGCAGCACGGTGATTAGTGGCGCTTAAATGGAAACAGCGTGAGCCTCCCTCTCTGATGGAGCTTTATGCTAGGATCTGGGATGTCCAAAGGATGGAATACCTAACTGCCATAATAGGGTCTGGGAGCTGTGGCACACCTATGAATAGCCATCTTGACAATTTCCAGTAATTCCTTTATGTATCTTGCCCCTTTCCTCTTGGGGGTGGGAGTGGGTTCCATTCAGTCATGGAGTGCATCGGCACCCTCTTCTCTCTCTTCCTTTTTCTGATATCCACCTTTGTTCATCTTACAGGCCTACCTGATAATGCCAATTCTTAGCCAGTATGCGGGCTCTATGTCTAAGATATTTATTTCTCATGTGCTATACTGCGACTGCCATGTGATGTTTTCATTATGTTCCATGCTGTAATCTTTGAGTGCTAAATTGGATTAACCACATGGGAACCCGCTTGGTGTACCCTTGTCAGGGAAGCTTTGTAAAACACATCTGGACTTGATTGTAAGTGAAAGTGGATTTCTACCATCTGCTTTTTACACCTTGGTACTTGTCTGTTAATTCACCGGATTTATTTATATATATATAAAATAAATAAATATATATTTTTAAATAAAACATAAAATATATATATATATATAACATAAATAAATCTGGTGAATTAACAGACAAGTACCTACACCTTTATAATCAATAAAGACAGTTTAAAAAAAAAAGAAAAAGAAGTGCTTTGGAGAAAAACCCTTTATTTCAGGTGGGGGAAATTTGAGGGTCAGGGAATGTGACCATGCTTCATGTTATTCCCCTAACATGGTATAACATGAAGATAGTGTATGCTTGTAAATCTGACTTTTCATGATTATAGATAGGATACACTTTACCCACAACCCACCATTCCTCAAGTACATATTGCTTGACAATCCTGAAAATATAAAGCTTTTTAAAAACAAAAATGATTTAAAAAATGCCCCAGCCCAAGTATACAGCGCTTCCAGAAACCACAGGTGACATCACAATGCTTTATCGCTGCCTTCACTGGAAAGCTGAAAGCTGAGTGCTTGAAAACCCATAAGAATGCATCCTGAAACATGCAGCTTTCCTGGGGGCAACAATGAAATCACCCATACCCTCCCAAAAGTGTCAGATGCCACAGTCAATGGATTTTTTTTCTCCAAATTGTTTTACACAGGGTTTTTGTAAGCAAAATGTATATGGGAGTGGGGGGCTGTGAGCAAAGTGGACCATCCACTTTCCTGGAAGGTACCCTTCCAACAGTTCTGAATTCACAGCCCAGGAACAAGCATGTGGCAGGTGATGTGAGAATCAAGTCCAAACACCTGATCTGCATGCTTTCTAGTGATAAGTGACTCAGAATGCATTGATGCCAAGTGGAGTAGCATGAAAGCCAGGCATTTAGCATTTTCAATAAAGTTCAGCAAGAGCATACTAAATATTTCTCCTAACATGGGTTTCTTTTAAATCTGTATTAGTCCACCCTGCAGACATAGTGTGCCTTTACAAAGGACGATTACATCCATGGCACTGCAGTCATGCAGCTGGTAATACCGTTTATGTGAATAGTTGTGGGTCTGTTCAGCCTATACAGTGCAATGACAGGCTGACAGGAGCCTCAGCTGTTCAGCTATAATCCCACATAGGGCGATTTGTTGTGGTTAGGGACAGATGATTGCCCCTGGATGCAGACTGTTGCATCCAGGAGCAATCATTTAAATCTCCATGTGAGATGACCCAAACGGCTGCAGCAGCTTTCATTGCTTTGAATAAGCTGAAGAGTCACAACTGTTCACATAAATAGGCGATTGCAATGCCAGGAGTCCGCTGGCTTGACATTATCGCATGTGTGAAAGAGGCATAATTGTAGGGCAGAAAAATAGTAAGGGCTTATTTACACTGGTGAGAATCTGCTTTTCGTCTGGGCAGAGAGACTATCTCTATGCACAATCTGCACCCAAACATTTGCAGCCAACAGCAGTTTGGCCCAATTTGTACCTTGCACAATTCAATGGTCAGTGCTGCTGTGCATATGTAACCGCTTATCCGAGAGGTTACATGCAATTAGGTGTCCTAACCAACCCTGGACACAGACAGGTGCCTGTAACCGTCTGAATCCAAATACTGCAGCTGATTTTGTTTTACCACTGGCTGCATTGACATGCACATTTGTTTTTCTGGGTTCTAGGCAATAGACAGCACTGTTCATTAGTCACACACATGATCTTTCAGTAGTGATTCTTTAAGCCCCCATACACTTGTGAATGGGGCCATTAGTGATTAGATGCAGGAGACCCAGGAAGAAAAAGTGTATGTAATAGATAAATCCTATGTTCAGCCATTGCTGCAGATGTATGAGAAATGCAATGGCAAAACATGCTATTGTTTCTTGCAGTTGTTTACTGTTTGTTATAAAATGTTGTAAACCCTATAAAAAATAAAATACCATTCAACAGGGAGCATTATTTATAATAATGCTGAAAGCGGAACATTAAAACATTAAAACTTCTTTTAATTAACATACTTGGGGGTGCACTAAACCTAGCTACGCAGGGATGCAGCTTTATGATGTGTAGGAGATAGTGAAGCAAAAGTGACATTCAGAAAGAAAAAGTTATTTAAGTTGCAATAAATGATATTTCATGGTGGCTTCTTTTTTTTTTTCTAAAAAATTACATTGGGGTCTTTTGAGGGGGCTCCTTGCCTTTAAAAAAAAGCCAGCAGGGTAACGTCATATACTGCAGTTTAAATGGCTTTTTTCTTACTGAATGTTACTTTTGCTGCATTACATCCTAAAGCAAAAGATTATTGCTCTCTCCTCTGAGATGATCAAGAACTGAGCCAGTTAGTCCATAAAAAGAAATATATATATAAAAGAAAAACAATATATAAAAAAAAAAAAGTATACATTTATATATAAAAAAATGTAAAACCAACGTACATAAAAAAATACATCTATGAACATAACCCCTTTCTGTAGTGTAAAGACCCATCCACAGTAATGATATATACATAACGTCTCTTCCCCATCGGTCATATACCAAACTATGTGATTCTTGTTGCTATGTTCAGTGTTGCCATGGTGTATGACATGAAAACAGTCTTCCACAACCCCACCATAATAGCAAAGTTTGGCTGTTCCTCACTCGGTTCCTCCTATACAGATGAATCTGTTTCTGTTATTTGCTGTGTTTCAGCCTACATGTAAATTGATAATGATGACTGTAATGATCATGGCTCCGATCCTATAATATCCCTGACTTTGTGTAAGTCTAAAAATTGATGCTGGTTTGAAGCCAAAGGGTAGTCACACAAATATGGATTTGATCTTCTGTTGGCTCACTTTGCAATTTGTAAATTGATAAAAAATAAACAATTAAAATATATATATTTTTAAAGCATTTTACTTTACAGTATTTCTTTCCACCTGCCTAAAACTGTTGCACAATACTGTGTATAATTTGTCTGGCATGTACAGATTAGGCTTTATAACATCGTAGAGGTATTATTGTTGGTCACTATTCTGTGTACAACACTGTGATTGGTATAAATATATATATACGTGCCCTGGTAGGATGCCCTGGTTTTTACCTGACATTGTTTGTTAGATGTTTTGATATATTGTATGCCATATAGTGTATGTTATATATTAATGTATTATATTTTTGTTTTTTCTTTACTTTGTATTATCTAGAACACCCCTCTCCTGAGGAAGGGTTCTTGTGAAACGTGTCAAGAGATTGTAGTCCCTCCACAGCTTATGACTACATTAGTCTTTGCACTAGAGAATCATATTGTTTGGTATGTGACCAATGGGGGAGAGATGTAATCTACTGTCATAAGTGGAAGACATTTTATGTGTTATATCCACTTCAATACCGGGCACTTTTACCCCCATCCTGCCCAGGCCATTTTTCAGGTTTCAGCGCTCTCACACTTTGAATGACAATTGCGCAGTCATACAACATTGTACCCAAACTAAAATTTTATCATTTTCTTCACACAACTAGAGCTTTCTTTAGGTGGTATTTAATCACCACTGGGGTTTTTATTTTTTGCTAAATTAACAAAAAAAGACTGAAAAGTTTGAAAAGAAAACACGTTTTTCTTTGTTTCTGTTATAAACGTTTGCAAATAAATAATTGTTCTTCATAAATTTAGGCCGAGATGTATTCTGCTACATGTCTTTGGTAAAAATAACCCAAATTAGGATGTATTTTTTAGTTTGTAGGAAAGTTATAGAGTTCACAAACTATGGTATAGATCTGAATATTGATCAATCCTGAAGTACTGACAGCCAATCTAATTTCTTGAGGTCCAAGAATGTCAGAACAGTACAGATATCCTCCAAAGAGACAACTTTTTGCAAAGTAGACAGTCCGACGTACTTCATAAGAGGCATGGCGAGTTTTTTGAAGTTGTATTTTTTTTTGTCATAATTTTTCGGAAAATTAAAAAATTAAAAAAATTATTTTTTACATACTGTCACCAGTGTAGTACAGCGTCATCATATAAATGGCATGGCAGTGATCAGGGACACTGACTGGTGACAGTATGAAAAAAAAAAATATAATTTTTTTTTTTAAATTTTTTTATTATTTTTAATTTTCTATTACATTTTTTTTTAAGATTTTTTTTTTCATATTTCACTATGACCAATGTAGTACAATGTTACCATAGTAACATTGTACTACTTTGGGGAAGTAATCAGTATTTTTTTTTTTTTTACACAATTTGCTTATAGCACAGAATTAGTTTGCTAGAAGCAAGCATTTACCTGAATGACATCGATTCATTTAGGGGTTTTTTTTTTTGTGCCTAGCTGTGATTTGGCCACGGCTAATCACATGACACAGATGGTCTGTGATTGGCCCAGCTTGTGCATGTGATCGCTGTGACCATTCACAGCTAGGCACACTAGTATACAATGGATGGCATGAATGAAGCCATCCATTGTATAAACTGTCATGTGACCTGCTGTGATTGGTCACAGCAGGTCACATGGTACCGGCAACGGGGCCGGTACTCAGATCTGTCATCGGCCGTGTCCGAGGTACACAGCTGGTGACAGATCGCGCCGCTGCGAGGCTCTGCAGGCGGGCAAACTGCGCATGTGCGAAAGGACACCATATGGCGTCCACCCGGAAAGGTGAGTGTTTTTGCCGGCCGCCATTCGGCCATAGGAGGGCGGCGGTAACTGGATATACACTAAATTGCAAAAAGTATTGGGATGTCTGCCTTTACACGCACATGAACTTCAATGGCATCCCGTCTTAGCCTGTAGAGTTCAATATTGAGTTTGCAGCTATAACAGCTTCAATTCATCTGAAAAGGCTGTCCACAAGGTTTAGGAGTGTGTCTATGGGAATGTTTGACCATTTTCCCAGGATTTATGCGGTCAGGCACTGATGTCAGACGAGATGGCCTGGCTCGCAGTCTCCACTCTAATTCATCTCAGAGGTGTTCTATTGGGTTGGGGGCAGGCCAGTCAAGTTCCTCCACCCCAAACTTGCTCATCCATGTCTTTATGGACCTTGCTTTGTGCACTGGTGCGCACTCATGATGAAACAGGAAGGGGCCATCCCCAAACTGTTCCCACAAAGTTGGAAGCATGAAATTGTCCAAAATGTCTTGGTATGCCAACACCATAAGAGTTCCCTTACTGGAACAATGGGGCCAAGCCCAACCCCTGAAAAACAATCCTACACCATAATCCCCTCTCTACCCAACTTTACACACTTTGCACAATGCAGTCAGGCAAGTACCGTTCTCCTGGCAACCTGCCAAATCCAGACACTTCCACTGGATTGCCAGACAGAGAAGCGTGATTCATCACTCCAGAGAACACGTCTCCATTGCTTTAGAGTTCAGTGGCATCGTGCTTTACCCCACTGCATCCGATGCTTTGCATTGCACTTGGTGATGTAGGGCTTGGATGCAGCTGCTCAGCCATGAAAACCCATTCCATGTTCTCTATGCACTGGTGTTGTGTTAATCTGAAGGCCACATGAAGTTTAGAGATCTTTAGCATTTGACTCTGCAGACAGTTGGCATCTTCTGTGTGCTTCAGCATGCGCTGACCCCGCTCTGTCATTTTACGTGACCTACCTCTTCAAGGCTGAGTTTCTGTTGTTCCAAGTTGCTTCCACTGTGTGATAATACTACTAACATATGGCTGTGGAATATTTAGTAGCAAGGAAATTTCACAGATGGACTTATAGCACGGTTGAATGGTACCACGATTGAATTCACTGAGCTACTGATAGCAAACCATTATTTCACAAATGTTTGTAGAAGCAGTCTGCATGCCTAGGTGCTTGATTTTATACACCTGTGGCCATGGAAGTGATTGGAACACCTGAATCCAATGATTTAGAGGGGTGTGCCAATACTTTTGGCAATGTATTGTATGTAATGTGTGTTTTCTAGCTAAACACACCCTCTTTATTTTCAAATATGACAACCTTTAATCTTTTCCAAAGACATAGTACTTGTCCTGTTTGCTTCTTGTTCAAGCTTACAGCCCCTCTGCTCATGTAAGTGGACAGCATGTGAAAGTTAAAAATGTCAAACATAGAGAATGCTTTGGTCACTGACCTTGCTACGTTCAGGATGTTTCATGCCATAGTCTTACATTAAAGTTTTTTTTTTATTCCTTTATTGAAGTCAGGTCCAGTGGGTCATGGTCAGTCATTTTTCAAGCACACAGTGTGCATGATGTTATCATGCCAGCGCAGAGCATGTGCACAATGTCATCATGCCATAGCATGGGACGCAGGGCCGGAGCCATTCTGCCCACATGTTGGCAGGCCTGGATGGTAGGGCTTTGCTCTCCTTACAGATGTGGGCATATATGGTATTTGGGAGGGGCTTTATTTTCCCTTGAGGATAAATTGAAGGGGCAGATAGAGGAAGTATTTTCACAAATAAGAAATATTGAGGCACTCTTCTTCTCTCTGGGTAGTATTTGATGGCAGCCTTTGTACATAGAAACATATAATTCTGATTTACTTGGCTTTTTGTTTCCGTGGGACATTCGGTTTTTAATGTCACAGAATTCCATCTATGCACCAAATTCTGTTTTTTAGTTTACAGACTTTATGTTGGTGGCATCTACTCCTGAGGAACTGAAGAAACATTCAAGAAACACGTAGAGGTATAGGATGCACTCCTTTTTTATTATTTTGGATATCTGGGAATATGTGCAATGGAATATATGTACCAATTAAATACACAAATTTTTTGCTGATGTATGTTGAATATAATGAACAGCCAAATTAGCTTTAAACCTTTAGTGATTATCATGTGATTACCAAAAAAGTATGGGTGAAGGTGAATATAAAAATTAAAATCTGAAAGGTATGTGATTTTATTTCAATGTATCTAAACAATGTGTATGCCTCTTTATACCCCCCAGGGAGGGTAGAGGTATTGGGGACCATGCCCTCAATACGGACTTCTGGCTATGTAACCATCAGAGCAAGGAAACTGGATGGAAAACCTGTATACAGGTGATGAAACTCGAAAAATTAGAATATCATGCAAAAGTTAATTTATTTCAGTAATGCAACTTAAACGGTGAAATTGAAAATAATATATGAGATAGACTCATTACATGCAAAGCAAGAAAGTTCAAGCCGTGATTAGTTATAATTGTGTTGGATTATGGCTAGAGATGAGCGAATTATTCAAAATTCAATTTGGCTGATTCGGCGAATTCGCGGAATAAATTTAATTCGAGTCGAATATATTCGCTGCGGAATTTAACTTATAAAAAAGGGTGTTTTCTAGGCTTCAGAGAGCCTTTATATTAGTGCAGAATCACTGTACCTTTAATTTAAATGCCACTTGGAGTCTGCTGGGGAAGAGAAATAATACTGTCATTCAGTATTGACATGCAGATGAGTGCCGTCGTCGATCTTAGAATCACCGCACACTTCACTCATTTGGGCAGTCACGGGGCACAAAACCAGAGTGTGGAGCCACAGTGTGGCTGTGTGGAAGGCAGCAGCAATGGGAGGCCATACAGCACCCTATGAAAAATGGAAACCCACCAGCAGTGTGAGGAGGACCTGAAAGTGGGCACATGGCAGGAGTAGTGTGGCGATGGGAGACAGCAGCAATGGGAGGCCGTGACAGGGACCCATGACACACCTCTGGGACCTGGCTGCGCAGCATGAGGAGGCGGTACAGGGGCCCATGACAGATTACGGGACCTGGCAGCAGCATGAGGAGTCGGACTACGGGGGCCCATGGCAGATTACGGGCTGGCAGCAGCAATGGGAGGCCCGTAATCTGCCAGCACCCTATGACAAAATGGAACCCACCAGCAGTGTGAGGAGATCTGAAAAATGTGGCACATGGCGAGAGTGTGGCGATGGAGACAGCAGCAATGGGAGGCCGTACAGGGACCCATGACACACTCTGGACCTGGCAGCAGCATGAGGAGGGGGCGGTTACAGGGGCCATGACAGATTACGGGCCTGGCAGCTGCGCCATGAGGAGTCGGTACGGGGGCCCATGGCAGATTACGGGCCTGGCAGCAGCAGAATGGGAGGCCACTGACAGCACCCTATGACAAAATGGAACCCACAAGCAGTGTGAGGAGACCTGAAAGTGGCACATGGCAGAGTGTGGCGATGGAGACAGCAGCAATGGGAGGGCCGTACAGGGACCCATGACACACTCTGGAACTTGGCAGCAGCATGAGAGGCGGTATTGGGGTACAGGGGCCCATGACAGAATTACGGGCCTGGCAGCAGCATGAGGAGTCGGTACGGGGGCCCATGGCAGATTACGGGCCTGGCAGCAGCAATGGGAGGCCCGTAATCTGCCAGCACCCTATGACAAAAATGGAACCACCAGCAGTGGTGAGGAGGACCTGAAAGTGGCACATGGCAGAGTGTGTGGTGATGGAGACAGCAGCAATGGGAGGCCGTACCAGGGACCCATGAACACTCTCTGGACTGGGGGCAGCAGCATGAGGAGGCGAGGGTACAGGGGCCCATGACAGATTACGGGCCTGGCAGCAGCATGTGGAGTCGGTACGGGGGCCCATGGGCAGATCACGGGCCTGGCAGCAGCAATGGGAGGGGCCCGTAATCTGCAGCACCCTATGACAAAAAAATGGACCCACCAGCATGTGTGAGGAGACCTGAAAGTGGCACATGGCCAGAGTGTGGGGATGGAGACAGCAGCAATGGGAGGCCGTACAGGGACCCATGACACACTCTGGACCTAGCGAGCAGCAATGAGGAGGCGGTACAGGGGCCCCATGGCAGAGTGGGCGAAGCGTAAGCAGCTTAAATTGAAGGCCATACAGAGGACTATGTTAAAAAAATAATAACATGTTTGGGGCATGATTCATGGCGGATTTAGTCAGTTTGTGTCAGGAACTGGTGGTTTGAAATAATCCAGACTAATCCACGCTGATTCATTTTCACAAACGTGAGTCTCTCCACACTTTGGGTGGACAGTAGTGTCCTCCGCGGAGTTACAATACCTCCTGCCGCACTAAACACGCGCTCCGATGCCACGCTACTGGCCAGGGGCATGACAGCCATTCAAGGGCAAATTCAGCTAGTTGGGGCCAAAGGTCAAGTTTCGTTGCCCAGTAGTCAAGGGGATTGTCTACTCGGTTGGCAGGGTGCTGTCCAAGTAGGCCCAAGCCTGTTGTTTGAGGTCCTGCTCCAGGTCACCTGCTGCTGCTGCTGCTGGGCTGGTTAGTAGTTTCCTCACTGCGCTGGTGAAGAAAGCGTACTCATCATCGATCTGCAGACTGAGGCAGCGCTGCTGGTGGGAGCTGCCACTGCTCCTACCACCCCACCCCTCCCCTGCTGCCATGGCAGCGGAAACGCGAGCGCACAGGGCCCACAGTGTCTGAGGATTGGACGTTGGCGCAGAAAGGCAGAGACCAACTGACTACATAGGTGGTTTTTATAGTACGTTATTTTGGCCTCCTCTCAGCAGGTGTGAAAAAGGCCACCATTTTTTGCAACGGGTAGCGAGGGTCCAAAAGGTGGACAGCCAAAAGTCATCCCTCTGTCTGATGGTTATTATTCGGCTGTCGCTACGCAAGCAGCGCCGAGCATTGCTATGGGCCATTTGTGCCAAGGAATGCGGAGGGACTCCCTGCCTCCATCTCCACAGCATACTGCCACGGTGCGTCTGGGTCCTCTGTCTCCTCCTCCTCCTCTACCAGATTGCTCCTGCTCCTCCACTCCTGTCCGCTGAGTGGAAAAAACCACCCATTTCACTCAATAATTTGAGCACCAATGTCCTCCTCTACCTCCTCCTCTTCTTCCTGTCCTGCCCCCACAGGGGTCATGTGGCGTTGAGATCTCGTGCGCCACGTCTACCGCACCCTGACCAGCCATTGTTAACAGCATTTGTTCCAGGATCGTGCAACAGAGGAATGACGTCGTTCATCCCATAGTCCTGCGACTCGACGAAATTAGCGTGGCCTCCTCAAAGGGCCTGAGCAAGCGGCAGGTGTCACGCATGAGCTGCCAATGGCTGACATCTAAGTTACACAGGGAGTACCCTTTATCCGCTTGTAACATCAGGAAATCGGTGATGGCCTTTCGCTGTTCGTAAAGGCGCGGTCTAACATATGTAGGGTTGAATTTCCACCTTGTTGCAACGTCGCAGATCAGGGCGATGCTGTGGAATTCCGCTCTGCCGCTGCAGCTCAAGGAGGGTGTGCTTTTGCGGTGTAGGAATGGCTGAAATGCATGCAAAGTTTACGTGACATTTTAAGGATGTCTTGCAGTGGGATGGTGGATTTTAGGAACCGCTTGACAACCAGATTGAACACGTGAGCCATGCATGGCGCATGGCACAACCTTCCTTGACGCAGAGCAGGACACCATGTTCTTTCCGTTGTTGGTTAACATGGTTCCGATTTTCAGTTTGCGCGGAGACAGCCATCTGTCGATTTCTCTGTTCATTACACTCAGAGAAGTTCCTCCCCTGTGTGACTACGTTCGCCAAGGCATACCAGGTGCAGCACAGCGTGACACCGTTGCGCCCTGCACATGTGATATGCCGTTCGGGTAATGGGACTTGGCACGGGGGTGGCGGCTGAGGACACGGCGGAAGAAGAGGTGGTAGAGGCAGACATCTTTGCTGGACAAGGACGTGCAAACGTGGAGGCAAAAGCGGCGTGACCTGTCCAAGTTGCTGGTGCGGCTGTGCCGGCACCACGTTCACCCAGTGGGCCGTAAATGACATGTACTGTCCCTGACCGTAGTTACAGCTCACACGTCGGCGCTGCCGTGCACTTTGGCAGAGAGACCGACATGCTCAAAGACTGGCCCACCATCTCTTCTACATGTGAATGCAGGGCTGGCACTGCCTTTTTGGCGAAGAAATGCCGGCTTGGCACTCTCCACCGCGGCGCGGCACAAGCCATCATTTCTCGGAAAGGTGCTGAGTCCACCACTTGGAAAGGGAGGGACTGCAGCACCAGCAACTTGGACAGGAGGACGTTCAGCTTCTGCACCGTCGGGTGCGTGCTCGCAAACTGTTGTCTCTTGGAAACGGATTCCAAGAAAGACTGCTGACGGAATCCGTGAAGAGGAGTAGCAGGAGAAGGAGCATCTGAACGAGCGGAAGATGCCAACGAGCGACAACTCCCCTCAGCAGAGGTGTTGGAGCCTTGACTGGCTGATAGAGGGCGATTGACGTCGGGTGACGGAGCAAGTAATGGAGCGGGTGATGGAGCGGGGGCTGGGGCAGGCAGAACCGCCGTATCTTTATCACGGTTTTCCCAGGCCACCGAATGGCGACGCTGCATATGCTGACGCAACGCTGTAGTCCCAACATGGGCCCCCTGGCCACGCTTGACTTTCTGGCCACATAGTCGACATACGGCTACGTTTACTTCCTCGGGCGGCTTGACGAAAAAATTGCCACACCGCCGAGTAGGAAACTTTGCCCCCGCTACTCCTCACTGGCTGACTGCTACTTCCTCCGTGCACACCGGCACCACTACTGGCCGTGGTGGTAGGCTGCAGTGGAGCTGGTGCTCTACTCCGTGGCCGTTTGCCTCCACTGACACTGCTGCGACCCTGCTGCCTCCTGGGCAACCCACCGACTGTTTTGCTCGCTGCCAAGCTGGCACCCTCTTCTCCTGATGATGCGGGAAGCAATAGCCTGATGACGACGAGGCTGCCAAGTGCGATCAGCCTCATCATCATCAATTAGGGTCTCCGCCTCACTACTAGCCCCCTCGGCTGCGTGTGGGTCAGGAGACAGACCTGTCTCTAGACCGGCTACCGAGCCACTCTCCTCGCCACTACTTCTTCGCCTGGCTGCTGAAGAGGCGGATGTCTCCCCCCGTTCCTGACCACCCTCTGTTAGCTCTTCCTCACTGTACAGTGGGGCTGAGCCCACAGCATGCGATACTTCGCTTGCTGAGGGAACACCAAAGGACAGGGGCAGGTAGAGGACACGTGATTTCAGTGGGCTTGCTCCCGGGCCATGCCAACTAACGGTTGTGTCTGACGTACCCACCGACCGTTGGCTGTAGGTGTCAGAGGTGACCTGGGAAGAGGAAGACGACCGAGCCAACCAATCGATGACGGCAGGGTTGTCGGTGGAGACACGACCGCTGGATGACACCGGGAGCACTGGCCTCTGGCTGCGACTAGTGCTGCCTCGACCCCTTCCTCTGCTGCCACGTCTGCTCGCTCCTGAAACATTGGCTCCTCTGCCACTCCTCTGCGTGTTGTCTGACATACTCTTTAATTCAACGATTCTGTGTCCCTGAGTAACGATTCTGTGTCCCTGAGTAACAATTCTGTGTCCCTGAGTAACGATTCTGTGTCCCTGAGTAACGATTCTGTGTCCCTGAGTAACGATTCTGTGTCCCTGAGTAACGATTCTGTGTCCCTGAGTAACAATTCTGTGTCCCTGAGTAACGATTTCTGTGTCCCTGAGTAACGATTCTGTGTCCCTCAGTAACGATTCTGTGTCCTGAGTAACAATTCTGTGTCTGTCCCTGAGTAACATTCTGTCTGAGTTAACGATTCTGTGTCCCTGAGTAACAAGATTCTGTGTCCCTGAGTAACAATTCTGTGTCTGTCCCTGAGTAACAATTCTGTGTCCCTGAGTAACAATTCTGTGTCCCTGAGTAACAATTCTGTGTCCCTCAGTAACAATTCTGTGTCCCTGAGTAACAATTCTGTGTCCCTGTCCCTGAGTAACAATTCTGTGTCCCTGAGTAACAATTCTGTGTCCCTGAGTAACGATTCTGTGTCCCTGAGTAACGATTCTGTGTCCCTGAGTAACGATTCTGTGTCCCTCAGTAACGATTCTGTGTCCCCAGTAACAATTCTGTGTCTCTGAATAACGATTCTGTGTCCCTGAGTAACAATTCTGTGTCCCTGAGTAACGATTCTGTGTCCCTGAGTAACGAATTCTGTGTCCCTGAGTAACAATTC